TTTCTTTGACTTTTTCTATAAATAGGTATGGTAGACCAGCAATAAATTTTTCTTTCCAATGGTCTAACTGACAATCTTCTCTTATAAGTAATCTTGAGAAAAATACATCCTTATACCATTTATAATGGGATAAAGTAGGACAGCGAAGGTTGGACAACAGATTTTCTGATCTTGCTGCTAATAGGGTTGTACTTCCTACGAAATGTAGAGTAATAGTATATATCAAGGTGTTTACCGCATCACTTTCAGTATAGATTATTTCTTGATTTTGTTCATTTCTGACAGTCCATTGTCATGTATTGGTAAGGATTCTATTCTTAGTTTCATCATCAACATAAAAATCCCACCAGCCTTGTAACCAGCCAGTAAATCCATTAACTATTGCTTTGGGAACTTCTTGATCTGGATTGCCAGCCATTTTATTTGTTGAGGCAAACATTGTTATATGTCTCTTTACATCTAATATTTTTAACTCTGATAGACCATCTATTGTCCAATTGACAATTGATCTTCCTGAATAGGAAATAGCCTGTTGTATAGAATCCTCTTCTAATTGTACATCAACAGGTGTGGGTCTCTTATAGTATGGTAAAGCTGTAATCGGTTTTCATGATTTGCCATATGCGATTCTATTTAGATCAGTGGGTGAAGTATCCATAAAAGCATATTCTTGGTTTTGTATAGTATCTTCTATAATTGGTTCTTCTTCTTGGAGCATTAAAGTCTCATGCTCAGGAATCTTCAATTTTCCTTTTTCTGAAGATTCTGGAATATTAGATGGAGGTACATAAATACTGGGTATTGGCATAGAAGTACTTAATTTTGGGGACTGAATGCCCTTGATATCTAATTGGGCTAATTTCGATATTAATTGGTCCATTAGTGTTTTATTATCTTCTCCTATGTGGAATTTTGTCTTATTAAATTCTGGAGGAAGTTTGAATAAAACAGTTTTAAGAACAGGAGGGGTTTTAGGTTGAGGAGTGACCGGTCTTTCTATCCTTTCTGCCTGTTTTCCTAACGACTGCATGTATAAGTGGTATTAATTCATGCTTTTTTATCATATCCTGAAGTACAACCTTATAAGGTGTTGCTATTATTTCATATGGGGATTGAGGTGGTTCTCCTTTTACTGGTAGAGTATTGACATCTTTGAGGATAATTCTTTTGATAGGAAGATGGGTACTAGAGGTAGTAGTTCCATCTGTACTTACATAGGTTTTTTCTTCAATTGTTTGAATAGTATGGAACTGAGGAATGTGGATGTTATATTGAGTACATATTTCTTGTAACCATATAAAAAATCCTTTTGTTTTTCTTTCTTTTTTCAAGAATTTATTATATTTTTTATGGAATAGTTCTACTAACCTAGGTTGGAATGTTTTAAGATACCATTATCTAATACCTTGATTTTCTGGGGCTAGATAATCTTGTTTTATATATTCAAGATCTATTTTTTTCTTCTTTCTTGCTAATTTAGCAGCTAAGTATTCTTCCAGGTATTCATCTATATTTATATCATCTTCTACTTGTAACGTGAGTATATTAAATTCTGCTATGTCAGGTTCAGATGTATACGTGGGAATGACTCTATGATCAGCTGTTCTTTTGACTCCTTGTAGCTGGAAGTCTGAATATGTATAGGTTTTTGTGGAGGTATGCGTTTGGGAACTATGGTTGTGGGATACATATTGAATATATCCCACCATTTTACTGAGATAGTTTTTCCAAAGCGTGGGATATAGGTATGGTCGGTTGTATTATTGATAGAGATTGAATGTTCCCACTTCATAATCCATGGGATTTGGTATAGTGCAACAAAGTACAGTTGATTGTCTGTATTATTATCACTATTATTGAATATAATAAATTGTTCCTGCACTTTTTGGAAAGCAGGAAGTAAAATTGCAGTAGCTGATCCCCAAACTAAAAACCAATTGGGGAACCGTGCGAAAATTGGTAACCGAAATTGAATATACCAACTATGAGTATTATTTGGATTTTGATAATAAAACATTTTATGCCAGGCTTCTATGTACTCAACATATTTATAATATTTGTATGAAAAATCAGGATTATATAGTTTTTTGCCCTGAGCGGGATTGCAACCCCACTCTTCATAAGAAAGCAATTATAACCCCAGTCCAAGTGGACATAATACTGCCAATACATCCTCTGACTTCCCCACATACTTGAGAAATATGCTGCAAACAAACCCTAATGCCTCCAAAGAAACCCTTGAACAACAATTGAGGGAGATATTTGCAGAAGCAGGAAGAAAGCCGGTTTCATCAGATGAGACCGTACAGTCATCACCAACCCATACAGTCATCACCGACATAAACGACAAGCCACTACTATTCCAAGATGTTATCCATCAACATAAACGACAAACCACTACTGTTCCAAGATGCCATCACTGTGCTCACCGACATAAAAGACAAAAGCTGCT